GGGGGGAAGGGCGGACCCCAAGGGTCTGCAGGGCTTGAGGGGTGAGGGTGGGGAAGAGGGGACTGTGAGGGAGGAGTCAGGGTGTGGGTGTGTGAGGTCAGCGGGGGCGGGGATGCCGGGGGGGCGGGGCGATACCCGAGGAGGCGGAGGGGCGAAGCGGCCCCTGAGGGGAGGGGGCGGGGCGGTCCTTGAGGTGGGGACGGAAGGGGCGGGGCGGCGCTCGTCCTCACCCGGCTCTGCACCGTCTCCTCGGGTCCCGGCAGGAGCCTCACTCGGCGCCTCAGGCAGAGTGGCGGGGGCGGTGGCGGGGATACCAGGCCCTTGCGGGCCGGGACCGGGCCCCCGGCCGCCAGCGGCGGCTGCTTCTCCCTCTCTCCGCGGGGCCCCGCCTCGCTCCGCGCGTAGCCGCCGACGCCGGGCTCTGGGGCCGGCATCCCGGCCCCCGGCGCCCTCCCGACGGTCCCGGCGTCCATCGGAACGAGCCGAGAGACCGTTAGCCTTCGCAACCGCCGCTCGCTCCGAACCGCCGCGGGAAAAGCCGGCGCTCCCGGGCTATTGGCTAGGTCCCACTCCAAGGCCGGCCAATGGCCGAGCGGCCGGTTCCGCGACCAGCCAATCAGCGGCCGAGGGCGGGCCTGGAGGACGCGCGTCACTGGCGGCGGGGGCGGGGGGGGGAGCCTCGATGGCCTGACGCAGGAAACTTTTTTAAGTTAAAAATATGAGAGTGTGTTTTTACGCTACAAACTTTTACAGATTATCCCGACTCTGTGAGAGGTCTCTTGTAGCAAAATAAAATAAGTGAAACTAATAACAGTAACCTGCAACTTCCTAAATCTGAAGGACCGCCTCCCCCCCCACACCTGTCTTTTTGTTGTTTAAAGTGAAGAGAAATCCATTTTCTCTCCCTCCTACCCTCAGCTCATTGGAAAGAAAATAAAAGAGAAACAAATTACTACATAACCAAAAAAAAATTCCCTCAAAGGCTTTATACAAATATCAGGATGGATGGATAGATGCATGGATGGATGCATGGATGAAGAGACACAGATATGTCTCACTGTGCACCCTAAATCCATCACCTCTGTAATGGATAATATGTTTCATCATCCATCCTCTGAAATCACGGTCATTGTATTGATCTGAGTTCAATCGATCAAAAAACATTTATTAAGCACTTTACTTATTAAGCACTAATGTGCCAGACCTAGTTCTAGGAGCACTGGGATACAAAAAGAGGCAGTTCTTACAGTTTTCCAAGTTGTTTGTTTTTAATGTTATCAGGTAAATCGTTCTCTTGGTTCTGTTCATTTCATTCTTCATCAGTTTATAAAAGTCTTCAGAAATGGTCATTTTTACAATATTGATGTTATAGTATAAACTGTTCTGCTCCTGCTCACATGTCTGCATCAGTTCATTTAAGTCTTTCCGTGTCTTTTTGAAATAATCTATTTCTCATTTCTTATGTCAAAATAGTATTCCTTCACATCAATATACTATAACTTATTCCGCCATTCCTCAATTGATCGGCATATTGGGCACATGTTTAGTTCCTCAGTTTTTTTGCCACTACACCAAAAAAAAAAAAAAAGCTGGTATAAATATTTTTGTGAACAAAAGACCTTTTCTTGTTTCTTTGATCTCTTTTGGTATAGACCTAGTGGTATGGCTGACTTGTGTCTATTCACAGGTCCACCAACAGTGTACCAATGTGAATGTTTTCTTTTTTTTTGGTTTGTTTTTGTTTTTAGGCAATTGGGATTAAGTGACTTGCCCAGGGTCACACAGCTAGTAAGTGTCAAGCGTTTGGTCTGAGGTTAGAACTGAACTCAGGTCCTCCTGACTCCAGGGCCGGTGCTCTATCCACTGCGCCATCTAGCTACCCCACAATGTGAATGTTTTCTCACAACCCCTCCAACATTCATCATTTTCTTTTTTTATCTTCTTTTCCATATTGATTAGTGTAAGATGTAATCTCAGAATTGCTTTAATTTGAATTTCTCTAATTATTAGTAGTCATCTGGAGCATTTTTCCCCCAACATGGCTAATGATAACCTGTGTTTATTTGTTGAGAACTGACTTCATGTATTTATGTGTGTGTGTATACATATACACATACAGAGAGAGAGAGAAAAGAAGACCTTTATCCTTTATCAAATGAGATAACATTTGGGGTTTTTCTTTAACAGTATTTTTTTCAATTACATGTAAAGATAGTTTTCAACATTCTTTTTTGTAAAATTTTGAGTTCCAAATTTTTCTCCCTCCCTCTGTTCCCTCCTCCCCAAGACAATCTGATATGTTGTACATATACGATCATGCTAGACATATTTCCACATTAGTCATGTTGTGAACGAAGAATCAGAACAAAAGGGGAAAACCAGGAGAAAGAAAAAACAAAACAAAAAGTGAAAATAGCATGTTTCGATCTGCATTCAGACTCCATAGTTCTTTCTCTGGCTGTGGTTAGCACTTTCCATCATGGGTCTTTTGGAATTGTCTTAGATCATTGTATTCCTGAAAAAAGCTAAGTCTATCATAGTTAATCATCGAACAGTGTTGCTTTTACTGTGTACAATGCTCTCCTGGTTCTGCTCACTTCACTCAGCATCAGTTCATATAAGTCTTTCCAGGTTTTTCTGAAATCTACCTGCTCATCACTTCTTACAGCACAATAGTATCCCATTATATTCATATACCACAATTTATTCAGTCATTCCCCAAACGATGGGCATCCCCTCAATTTCCAATTCTTTGCCACAACAAAAAGAGCTGCTATAAATATTTTTGTACATGTGGGTCCTTTTCCCTTTTTTATGACCTCTTTGAGATACAGACCTAGTAGTGGTATTGTTGGGTCAAAGGATATGCATAGTTTTATAGCCTTTTGGGCATAGTTCCAAATTTCTCTCTAGAATGGTTGGATCAGTTCAAAACTCCATCAACTATCCATCAGTGTTTCAATTTTCCCACATCTTCTCCAACATTTATCATTTTCCTGTTTTGTCATGTTAACCAATCTGACAGGTGTGACATGATACCTCAAAGTTGTTTTATTGTGCATTTCTCTAATCAATAGTGATTTACAGCATTTTTTCATATGACTATAGATATCTTTAATTTCTTCCTCTGAAAACTGCCTGTTTGTATCCTTTGACCATTTATCAATTGGGGAATGACTTGTATTCTTATAAATTCAACTCAGTTCTCTATAAATTTTAGAAATGAGGCCTTTATCAGAAACACTGGCTATAAAAATTATTTCCCAGCTTTCTGCTTTCCTTCTAATCTTGGTTGCATTGGTTTTGTTTGTGCAAAAACTTTTAAATTTAATGTAACCAAAATTATGAGATAATATTTATAAAGTGCTTAGAATAGTGTCTGGCTCATCGTTACTGCTTAATAATTGTTTATCCACTCTCCTTTCTTTCTATCAGAGAAACTCACTGCAAAGATTTCCCCCAGATGGTTCCATTTTAATCTTAACTTTATTGAATTTGTTTATGCAAAAACTTTGAAATTTTATATAATTGAAATTACCCATTTTATCTTCTCTGCTCTTCTCTATTCCTTGTTTGGCCATGAACTTTTTTTTTCTATTCATAGATTTAATAGGTAATTTATCTTGTTCCCATTTGGAGTTGATCTTTGTGTAAGTTGTAAGGTGTTGGTCTAAATTTAATTTCTTCCATGCTGCTGTTGAATTCTCCCAATAGTTTTTGTCAAATACTGGGTCATTATCCCAGTAGCTGGGGTCTTTGTGTTTACTGAAAACTAGAGTATTAGATATATTTACTTAATCTATTCCACCGATCAAACTATTTTCTTTAACCAATACCAAACTGTTTGGAGAATTACTGCTTCGTAGTATGGTTTGAAATGTGGTACTGCTAGGCCTACTTTGTTTCCATTTCTTTTCATTATTTTTCTTGAGATTTTTGACCTTCCCTCTCCACCTCATATGAATTTATTTTTTTAATTTGATTTAATTTTCAGTTTTGAATTCTCTTCCTCTCCCCTCACCTTCCCCCACCCATTGAGAAGGCAAGAAAAATAAAAACCATTACAAATATGTATAATCATGCAAAACAAATCTCTCCATAGCACGTTTCATCATGAGTCCTTTGGAGTTGTGGTGGTTACTGTATTTAATCAAAGTTACTAAGTCTTTCAAAACTGATTATCTTTAGAATATTATTATTACAGTATAAATTATTCCCTGGTTCTGCTCACTTCATTTTGTAGCAGTTCAAACAAATCTTCCCAGGTTTCTCTGAAACAATCTCCTTCATCGTTTTTTACGGAACACTGTATTTTATTCCATTTATGTACCATAACTTGTTCAGTCATTCCCCAGTAGATGGGAATCCCTTCAGTTTCAAATTCTTTTCCACCATAAAAAGAGAGGCAATAAATATTTTTGTATATATGGGTCCTTTGCCTCTTTCTTAGATACCTTTAGGATATAGACCTAGAAGAGTCATTGCTGGGTCAAAAGACATGCACAATTTCACAGCTTTGGGGGCATAGCTCCATATTGCTTGCCAGAATGGTTGAACCAGCTGGACCAGCTATACCAACAATGCATTAGTGTGCCTTTTTTTCCCCACAATCCCTCCAGCATTTGTCAATTTCCACTTCTGTCATCTTAGTCAAATTGATGGATGTGAAGTGGTACGTCATAGTTGTTTTAATTTGCATTTCTCTAATTATTATTTAGAGCTATTTTTTCATATAGTCATTGATATTTTTGGTTTCTTCCTCTGAAAACTGCCTACTCATATCCATTGACCATGTATCAACTGGGAAATGGGTCTTTTTCTTATAAATTTGACTTAGTTCCCTAAATACCTTAGAAATGAGATTATTATCAGAGAAATTTGCTACAAAGATTCCCCCCTAGTTTCCTACTCCTCCCCCACAAAGGTTTTGTTTGTGCAAAATTTTTTAACTTGATGTAATTAAAATGATTGATGTAACCTCCTGTGAACCTCTCTATTTCTCATTTAGCCACGAACTCTTCCCTTATCAATAGATCTGACACTTCTTTTCTTCCACATTCCACTAGTTTATTTATATTCCCCTTTGTGTCTAAATTATGTACTCCTTTTGAAGTTTCTTACTATATGGTGTGAGATGTTAGTCTATGCCTAGTTTCTGCCAGATTGCTCTCCATTTTTCCCCATAGTTCTTGCCCCAATAGTTGGGTTCTTTGGGTTTACCAGTGACTAGGTTACTGTACTCATTTGTTTCCGTGTATTGTATCTAACCTGTTTCAATGAGCAACGTCTCTAATTCTTACCCAGTAGCAAACTATTTTGATGATTGCAGCTTTGTAGCATAGTTTGAGATCTGGTACTGCTAGGCTTGCTTCCTTCCTATTTGTTTTCCATTGTTTCCTTTGATATTCTTGACTTTTTTTGCTCCTCCAGATAAATTCTGTTATTATTTTTTCTAGTTCTATAAAGTAATCCTTTGGTAGTTTGGTATATAATTGAAGAAGACGAAGAAGAATAGCTAACATTTATATAGTATCTACTATGTGTCAGGCACCGTGCTAAGTGCTTCACAAATACTATTTCCCTTGATCCTCACAATAACCTTGGGAAGTAGGGGCTATTGTTATCCCCATTTTACAGAGGAGTAACAGAGTCAAACAGAAGGGACGTGCCTTGCTCAGGTCCAAATAGCTTGTATGTGTCTAAGGTCAGATTTGAATTCAAGACTTCCTTGACTCTAGGCCCAGAGCTCTATCCAATGAGTCACCTATCTTGACTTTTAGTCATTAATTTAGATTTATTGTCATTTTGGGGTAGAATATGGCTTGTCCTACCGAGAAGCAATTAACATTTTTCCAATCAATGACATGTCTTTTTTTCTGTAAACCTTTGTAGCTGTATTTCTGTAGTTTGTGTGAATATCTTGGCACATAGAATCTCAAGTATTTTCCACATTCTGTAGTAATTTTAAGTAGTTTCTCTCTTTAGCTCTTCCTGCTGGGTTTTATTGGTATTCTATAGAAACTTTTCTAACGCAGGGAGGCCTGAAAGATAAGGTAAAACCTTGGGAAGCAATGACTGGCCAGGCCAATTCCCAAAGGGAACTTGGTTTCATCTCACAGACACTAGGTGAGGAGCAGAGCAATAGTCACAGGGTTACTGTTGGAGAGGTTTAGGTTTAATAGAGTTACTGGCCCTGGCCTAGTCTCCTCACCTCCATAAATCTTACTTTGCTCATCTGTAAATCGTGGAAATTAAGCCTTGCTCCTACCAACCTCATAGGGGCATTCATAGGATCATACATTTAGGGCTGGAAGGGAACTTCTGAAGTCTTTTAATCCATCCTCCTCCTGTTATGGGCAGGTAGGTGCAGAAGTGGATAGAGAGCTGGGCCTAGAGTCAGGAAGACCTGAGTTCAAATCTGCCTCAGACACTTCCTAGCTATGTGACCCTGGGCAAGTCACTTAACCCTGTCTGCCTCAGTTTCCTCATCTGTAAAATTAACTGGAGAAGAAAATGACAAACCATTGCAGCATCTTTGCCAAGAAAACCCTAAATGGGGTCATGAAGAGTCAGACACTACCGAATAACAACAAATAACCACCTTGTCTTGTAGAGGAGAAAAATGAGATGAATGTTTGCCAAGGTCATACAGGTCCATGTATATAGTGCTGCATATAATTATATTACTTCATTTGAACTTAATATAAACCTCCTGGAATAAGTGCTATTGGTAACAGAAAAGGGATAATAATAAAAAGGAGAGCTATCATTTCCATAGCACTTTTAAAATTTTAAATTTGAATTGACTTTAATTTTAAATTTTAATTTAAATTCATACATACAAAGCATTTTACATGTATTATCTTATTTGATCCTCAAAACAACTCTGTCAAGTAGATGCTATCATTGTTGCCATTTTCCAGATGGGGAAACTGAGGGTGAGAAAGGTTAAGCGACTTGCCCAGGGTCACACAGTCAGTAAAATTCGGAGGTAGGAATTGATATTATAAGCCCATTTTGCAGATGGGGAGACTGAGACTCAAATGACATGTTACAACAGTAGTGTCTGAGGAATGTTTTGAAACCGTCTCTCCTGATTCCAAATCCAGTATTCTTTCCACTTATTAAGTGCCTACTATGTTCCAGGCACTGTGCTTAAGTAAGCATTAGAGATACAAACAAAGGAAAAAATAGTTCCTGCCTTCAAGGAGCTCACATTCTAACAGGAGACACATGTAAATAACTTTTGGGTCATTGTTCAGGCATGGTCTGACTCTTTGTGACCCCATGGACCATAGCACACCAGGCCCTTCTGTTCTCCACTGTCTCTCAAAGTCTGTCCAAGGTCATGCTCATAGTGTTCATGAGACTGTCTATCCATCTCATCCTCTGCCGTCCCCTTTTCCTTTGGCCTTCAATCTTTCCCAACATCAGGGTCTTTTCCAATGAGTCCCATCTTCTCATTATGTGGCCAAAATATTTCAGCTTCAGCTTCAGTATTTCACCTTTCGGTGAATCACCTGAATTAATATGAGTATTGACTGATTTGATCTCCTTCCTGTATAAAGGACTCTCAAACATCTTCTCCAGCACCATGATTTCAAACTATCGATTCTGTGGAGCTCAGTTTTCCTTATAGTCCAACTCTCACAGCCACATGTTGCTACTGGAAAAATAACTAGGGTTATACAGGATATAGACAGAGTCAGTTTGTTAGAGTAGACAGAGCACTGCACATAAAAGTCAGGGTGAACTGGCTTCCAATATTGCTCAAACTTTTACTAGTTGTATGACTCTGGTCAGATCAATGCTTCTTCCTGGTTCACTGAATCCTCTGCAAAATTAAAAATTGCAACTCGATGGCCTCCGAGATCCTTTTCAAGTCTAGATATGAGATTCTACGGGAGGTATTCTCAGAGTGGAAGGAATTAGCAGCCAGCAGGACTCAGAAGGGCCTTCTGCAAAATGGGGCATTTGAGCTGGCTCAAGGAAGAACATTTGGAAAACTAAGGCTGAGGTGAGGGGTACATTCCTCGAATGGGAGACAGCCGGTACAAAGACATGGAGGTGAAATGTGAGGAGCAGCAAATCGTACACCACCGTTTCCTTGATGGAAGTGACTTTCATGAAGTGAGTGGTAACTAAACATCTGCTGAATTGATCAGGACTCCAGTAAAGTGCCTAGTGCATAGTAAGAACTTAATAAATCCTTCTTCCTTTCTGAGAATTCTCTTATGTTAAGGGATAAGGAGTAATGAAAGCCCATTGCACTTATGGGGTTCCTCTCAATTAAGAATTCATCACATAGAAATGTACTATGTACAAAGTTAACAGCAATATTGTAAGATGATCAGCTGTGAATGACTTAGCTCTTCTCAGCAATACAAACGATCCAAGACAACTCTGAAGGACTTAGGATGAAAAATGCTATCCATTCCCACAGAAAGAACTGATGGTGTCTGAATACAGACTGAAGCATACTTTTTTTACTTTCTTTATTTTTCATGATTTTTTTTGGGGGGGTGTCCACATTTTCTTTCACAACATGGCTATTATGGAAATGTTTTGCATGGCTACACATGTATAACCAAATCAAATGCTTGCCTTCTCAATGGGGGGGGGAGAGAATTTGGAACTCAAAGTTTTAAAAACAAATGTTAAAAATTGTTTTTGCATGTAACTAGGGAAAAATAAAATACTAAATAAAAATAATAAAAAAAAAAGATTTAAAAAGATGAAACAAATTCTCCACATACAGACAAATGAACATTGACAGATGCATTTATTAAGCACTTAATATATACCAGGTATTGTGTGAACACAGTCCCTCCCCTCAAGTTTACATTCTAGTTGGGGGGAAGGCCACATATGAAGGAAACTGGAAAGAATAATAAATAGCATTTACATACTCTATATTTAACACAACTTCCCAATATTATTTACAACCATTATATATGACGTATTTACACGTAACAGTACTTAGAAACTTTAAGGTCTCTAAAATGCTTCATGGAAGTCATCTCAGAGATCTTCACAATAACCCTAAGAAGGAGGTGCTGTTATCATCCCTGTCTTACAGATGAGAAAATTGAGGTCAACAGAGGTTAAGTGACTTGTCCGGGGTCATACTGCTAGTAAGCTTCTGAAGGGGAATCCTGCTCTCTCCCCAATTCCTCCCCTTAAGCTGCTTCGGTTTAGCTCAAGCTGAAACTTCTCATATTTATTTCCATTTACGACGCTTCCACGCTGCCAGAATTAACGGGGGTTCCTCCCCCCTTCCCCCCCACCCCCCTGCCTCCTTCATTCCATTAATAAACTTTTCTCCACGCAGACTTCAGACGGTAAGAAAGCTCTGGGTTCTGACAAGAGAATGGCCCATTTAGTGAGGAATGCCCCCACAAATCTACAAGTCGTTCAAGTTAGACTTGAAGTTCCCTGACGACAGGAAGTCCGCCGGTCTTTCCTCTGTATGGCCTCCAGCCCCTCTCGCCCTCCCCCAGGGCCCAGCAGATCCCAGACACAGAAACGGAAAGGACTCCGAATCCACCCCGCCCTCTGCTTTTTGCGCAGGCGCATTCCTTTCTTTGAGGCCCGCAGGTCTGCGCATGTGCATGTATCCAGTAACAACTGCGCAAGCGCCCAGGCGCTTCCCTTGCCCTCCCCTGGCACGTGACGAAACTAAAGTTGAATCACGTGACGAGGGCGACGCGCAGAACCAGGCCAAACCGGGAATCCCGCGGAGTCCCGAAGGAAGGAGCCAGACAGGGCCGGGACAGAGGTCGGGCCATGCCCACGTCTTCTCTGGCTCCGCCCTGCCCCAACACTGCTGGCTTACTCGGCGCCGACAACCGCCGCCTCACCTTTTCTACAAGTGAGTCACTGTCAGGGAATGGTGAGCGGGGCGCTCCGACACCACCAGCCTGACGTCAAGACGTGGTGACGCCGATCCCCGCCCCCTCCTGAAGAGAGAGCGAGGCCCTGGGGGCGTGGCGCGGGACAGCATGGGCGGGGCTTCCTCCTCTGTTCCCCCTCCCCCCAAGTCCCAGGGGCGGAGGGAGGGAGAGGAGCCCTGGGATTCCAGGTCTAGAGCTGGAAGGAGCCCCAGAGGCCACCCAGCCCCACCCCCTCTCTCTACAGTGGAGGAAACTGAGGCCCAGGCAGAAGTGACTCGTCCAAGGTCACCCCGGGAGTAAGTGGCCGAGCCGGGGTTCCCACATAGGTCCTCTGGCTGTGAAAACAGCCTTCTCCTCCCCCCAGGGGTGGACCCTGGGTACTGCAGGCCCTGCTGGGGTCACAGTCCCCTCCAACCCCGCCCCCATAATAGATGCTCTAGCATGAGGGGGATCCTGGGGTCACATCTGGAGCTGGAAGGGGCCTGAGGGGCCCTCTAGTCTAACTCCCTCCTTTTACAGATGGGGAAACTGAGACCCGCGACGCGCAGTGAGTGCCTCCAGGTCACAAGGCGGGGCCAGCACTTGAATCCAGGTCCTCTGGCTCCAGAGGCGGTGCTTTTGCGACTACATCATGGCCCACCCCTGCCCCCGCTGCCCCCGTCCGGTCCCTGGCACCGGGCACGGCTCGTGGCCTTGACGGGGGCCCTCCCTTGGTGTCTTTCAGAAGCCGAGACGGCGCGGCCCTGACGGCTGGGATCCCCGCGCAGCAGCAGCCCTGAAGGCGACCGTGACCGTGGCCTCCTGGGGGGCCTCTGCGCTCCCGGGGGCGGTGTATCTGGAAGCCTGGCCGGCCCAGCCCCACGAGGCGCGGCCCCTGCCCCCCGTGACCGTGGTGTCGTCGGCGCTCATCACCCCCATCGTCTCCACGCTGCCCATCGTGTCCCACGCGGCCGCCAGGGCCTCGGCCGGGGCTGAGCGGGAGGGGGCCGGGGAGCCCGACGGCGCGGCCGGGGCGCCGTCCGGGGCGGCCCCGCGGGACGAGCACGCGTACCACCGCGCGCGCCTGGAGCCCGAGGCCGGGCTGGACGGGGTGGTGGCGGCGCTGCAGCGCAAGGTGCGGGGGCTGCAGCAGCGGCAGCGCCGGCACCGGGCGCGCCTGGGCGCCCTCGAGGGGCTCGTGCAGCAGCTGCGCCGGGACCACCTGCTGTCCCACGAGCGCCTGCGGCTGCTGGGCGCGGTGAGCGCACGGGAGAGGGGCGCGGGGTGCGGGTCACGCGCGGGGGTCGCCGCTCACCACCTTCCCCCTGTTCTTCCCGCAGACATGCCTGCCCGGGGGCCCCACGCGGCCCGACCCCGCGGGGGCCGGCGCCGTGGCCATCGTGTGCGGGGAGCAGCCGGCCGCAGTCCTCTACACGCTGACGCCCGCCCACGACCCTTGACGCCCGCCCACGACCCTTGAGCGCTCCGGGGGGAGGGGGCCTCCGTGCCTCAGTGGCTCTTTTGGACTCAATAAACTAACTTGAGAAAACCTCGAGTCTCTGAATTGGGGGTGGGGGGCGCCTGTGGGACTTGCGCCTCTTTCTGTCCCTGGCCTTATCGCCGCCTTGGACTTTCTGTCCCTGTGTGTCTTTCCGGCACGTCTGCGGGGGAGGGGGTCTCTGTTCCCTTCCTTCTGCCTCTCCCCCTCCTGTCCCCCGCCCCCGGGACGCCTGTGCGGTGCGCATGCGCACTCGGGGCCCCGCCCTCCGGCCCGTCTCTATCTCCAGGTCTCTCCATCTCCATCATCTTCTCTTTGCATCAGTCTCTCCCATTCTCTGTCTCTGCACCCGGGGTAAGGGGGCCCGGCCCTGACCGGGATAAACACACAGCCAGGCATCCGACTCCGCGGTCCCTGGTTGCCTCTCCTATGGCCAGACAGGCCCAACGCCTTGGTCCAGGAGGGAGGGGAGGGGAGAGGATGCGGGGTGGGGGGAGGTAGATTCCCTAACTGGGGGGGGGGAGAGGTGCTGGCCCTTGGTTTTTGGAAGGGGACTCCAGGACCCTGGGAGTGGGGCACACCACCCACCCCTGGCTGGAGGGGGCAACGAGCCCTACCTAACGCCCCCTTGTCTGTCCCCTCCCCCCCAGGCTGAGACCCCAGCTCCCCGTGAGTGCCCCAGGCCCCCTCCCCGAGCGTCCCCGGGGCCATGACGAAGACGGACGCTGCAGCGCTTCCCCCGGAGGAGGAAGAAGAGGAGGAGGAGGAGGAGGCGCTGCCAGAAGCTCGCAGCCCCATCCCAGAGCGCAGGCAGAATCCAGTGGTGCACCCCTCAGCCCCAGCCCCGCTGCCCAAGGACTATGGTAAACATCCCCAAGAGCAGAGGTTCCCCGAGGTGGGGCTTAGCCACAGATCCGTGCAGCAGGACCTCGGGCTGGGGAACCCCCGCCCGGAGCCGCCCCGGGATTCGGGTCTCCAAGATTCAGTCTTGTCACATGACAGGATCCAGTCTATTCTGCCGAGGTTTCTGTCCCGGGATCTGAGCGATCAGCTGGGAGGACTTAGTGGGAATCCAGAAGGATCTAGCCTGGAGCCCCCAAGAGTTTGTGGGATCTGATGGATTCGGGGCTAGGGGTCTTAACCTGAGGTCCATGAACTTGGTTGTTCTTTAAAGTATTTTTTGATAATTGCATTTCACTGTCATAGGTTGCCCTTGTGATCCTATCTTATGTATTTAAAAACATGGTTCTGAGGTGGGGCCCGTAAGCTTCACCAGACGGCCAGTCCGAGGCGACCAGGACATAAAACACATTTTAAGAACCCCTCTTTTAGTGGATCTTACACTGAAGACTGAGCAGAGGCCTTGGGGGGGGGGCGGTCGAGCCCAGGGATGCAGCAGGGTGCTGGGGGTGGGTATGAAGGGATTCCAGGTGAGCTCTTTCAGTCTGGTAGATTCTGTTCTGGGATGATCCACAGGGGGTCTGACTGAGGCAGCAAAGGAGGGGTCTGTTCTCTGGAGACCCTGGCACAGGCGCTCAGGCAGAATCTAGGTTCTGGCTTTGTCAGGTGGAGAAGGGGGGTGGTTTTATCTTGGCCAAGGGATGACCTCTCTCTCTCTCTCCCACCAGCCTTCACTTTCTTTGACCCCAATGACCCAGCCTGCCAGGAGATTCTGCTGGACCCACGCACGACGATCCCTGAGCTCTTTGCCATCATCCGCCAATGGGTACCCCAAGTTCAGCACAAGATTGATGTCATTGGCAATGAGGTGGGTAGAGACTGCAGGCAGGATACTGGGGGCCCAGGGACAGCCCTCCCCAGGGTGACGCTGTGACCCTGTGTCCCCAGATCCTGCGCCGTGGATGTCATGTGAATGACCGGGATGGGCTGACAGACATGACCCTGCTCCACTATGCCTGCAAAGCCGGGGCTCATGGTGTCGGTGAGTGAAGCTAGGCCCCTGAGGTCTGACAAGCTGAGCTCCCTGGAGCCCCAGAACCAAATTTTTAAGCTCCTGAGATTCTATGCCCTTGAGATCCCCAAATTCCAGGTACCCCTGAGCTCTTGCCTCCACTGACCAGCCTGTGCCCACCCTGCCAACCTCCCAACAGGGGACCCAGTGGCCGCCGTCCGCCTGTCGCAGCAGCTGCTGGCCCTGGGGGGTGACGTGACCCTGCGGAGCCGCTGGACAAACATGAACGCGCTCCATTACGCGGCCTATTTTGACGTCCCTGATCTCATCCGCGTCCTGCTAAAGGGGGCCCGGCCCCGAGGTATGTGGTGCGGAGGTCCCAGAGTCTTGAGGGAGGGAGTCTGGGGCCTGAGGTGTCTCTGGCTGCCCTGACTATGCCCCTTTCTGCCCCCCCCATCTCCCCTCCTAGTGGTGAACTCTACATGCAGTGACTTTAATCATGGCTCAGCCCTGCACATCGCAGCCTCCAACCTGTGCCTCGGGGCCGCCCGCTGCCTCTTGGAGCATGGTGCCAACCCTGCTCTGCGGGTACGTGACCCCTACCTCAGCCCTGGCATCCCTCCCTCATGCCCCATGGTACCATGTCTTCAGGAGTCTGGGTCCTCTGAGGGCAGCCTGGTATATCCTGGGTACCCAGGTCCCCTGACCGTGGCTGTCCCCTCACAGAACCGTAAGGGCCAAGTCCCAGCTGAGGTTGTCCCAGACCCTATGGACATGTCCCTGGATAAGGCCGAGGCTGCCCTCGTGGCCAAGGAGCTGAGGACACTGCTGGAGGAGGCTGTCCCCCTGTCCTGCGCCCTCCCCAAGGTCACATTACCCAACTATGACAACGTCCCAGGCAACCTCATGCTCAGCGCCCTCGGCCTTCGACTTGGAGACCGGGTCCTGCTAGATGGCCAGAAGGTCAGGAGTCACCGGAGGCGGTGGTCAGCCATCGTGGGGGCTGAGATTGTGTCATGGGTTGATGGGTGGAGAATCCAAATTCTTGGGTCAAACTCTAGACAGAAGTCAGGGGTAAAACCATGGGTGGTCATGCTAATGTCTGAAGTTGGAATGCAAGGTCTGGGGTGGTTGAAGTTAGGGGTCTGGGCAGGAGATGAGAGGGCAGGGTAGGGGGAAGGCTCGGCCCCAGGCCCTGGACAGCTTGACTGGTGCACAGACCCTGAACCTCTTCCTTGTCCCTCCCCACCCAGGCAGGGACACTGCGCTTCTGTGGGACCACGGAGTTCGCCAGTGGCCAGTGGGTGGGCGTGGAGCTGGACGAGCCTGAGGGCAAGAACGATGGAAGCGTAGGGGGTGTGCGGTACTTCATCTGCCCCCCTAAGCAGGGTCAGTGTGGCCACCTCCCTCTCCCAAACTCGTATCACCCCCTCTTCTCAGAATTCCTTGTCCCTGGAGGGTAGTACCCTTTACTGGACCAGCTTAGAGCTACCTTCTGTCCTGAGCTTGAAAGCTGACTGGCCCTGTGGAGGGACTGGGGGGTCATCGGGGTGCCAGCCCTGATGACACCCCCTACTCCTCCAGGGCTGTTTGCCTCTGTCTCCAAGGTGTCAAAAGCGGCCGATGCCCCTCCTTCCTCTGTCACCTCCACCCCTCGCACCCCTCGGATGGACTTTTCCCGTGTCACTGGCAAAGGCCGAAAGGAGCGCAAAGGTCAGAAAGGGTCACTGGTCTCTCTGAGACCGAGGGCAGAGCCATTGGTCGCTCTGGGCCTGAGGAGAGATCAGGGGTTACTTAGGGGACAGAAGGTTCAGTGGTTAGTGTGGTACAGGGCTGTTAGAAGTGTGTATGGTATAGAAGTGTCTGTGTCATTTTTCAGTTCAAGGTTTTCAAATAAGGAGGTGGTTGAGAGTGGAGTGTCAGTGCTTAGGGGAATCCTGATTTCAGGGGGTCCTTGGTTCAAAGGTTTCTTAAGTTTTAGGGGTCCCTAATTTGGGCATCCCAGATTGAGGTGATTCTGTGTTCAAGGGTAGACTTAGGATTGGGGGCCCAATGGGTCTTAGGTTTAGGGGGTACCAAATTTCAGGGTTCTGGGGTTTTAGACTATCCTTCCTTCATGGGAGTCCTGGGTTTAAGAGGTCCCAAGTTGAGGGAGAAACTCTGGATGCTTGACCTCTACATCCTGCCCTCTCCCTTCCCCCTCCTCCAGCAAAGAAAAAGTCGCCATCGCCTTCCTTGGGCAGCCTCCAGCGGGAAGGATTAAAAGCTGAAGTTGGGGACCAAGTGCTGGTGGCTGGACAGAAGCAGGGTGTGATTCGCTTCTATGGGAAGACAGACTTTGCTCCTGGTAAGGCGGATGCTCTGGGCCCCTGGCAGAGGTTGTGGGGAGGGAAGAAAGCGAGGAACCCAGAGCTCCAAGATCCAGCCAAGCAAGGGCTGTGATTCAGCCTTGACTCTATCCTCAGGGTATTGGTTTGGCATTGAGCTCGACCACCCCACGGGGAAACACGATGGCTCTGTCTTCGGTGTCAGATACTTCACGTGTCCTCCTCGCCACGGGGTCTTTGCACCTGCATCCCGCATACAAAGGTAAGCCCCAGAACCCTGAACACCAACCACCACAAAAAACTCAGTACCCCCAGACCTGAGAGATTCTCCCTGAAAAAACAAAAACAAAAACCCAGGAGCCCATGCAATGCAATGACCTCCCAAACCTAGGAGATCCAGACACACATCCCAGACACTAGAAACCTAGATACCTTAAGATCTAGATAGAGGTTGGAGAGAAACCCAGGATACTTTGGAACACAGACACTGCCTCAGGGACTCCCCGAGACCCACCAGGAGATGGGCAGTCCTTTGGCATTCCAAATCCAGAGACCTGTCTGCCCAGCCAAAGACCAAGAGAGGCTCAGACACAAGAGCCCCCCCACCCCCACCCCAACCCCCACCCTGCTCTGGCCCATTGTCCTCATACTCAGGAAATACTGAAAGCCAAGACTTTAGAAACTCTAAAACAGTGATGACCCTCACTTTATATCACCCCTGCT